GGGATTACATTTCGCATTCATGGAATTCCATCGAGGCCGCGTAAATCAAAAGTTCGAGGGCGTATATAAGCGCGGCGACGGGGAACCGGAACGGAACAGAACGGAACGGTGTACGCGGCGAAAATGCGCAAGCGGAACCGAGATCGAAGAAAGAGATCCGCGATTGTTTCCCCTCTCCACGTCGCGCTTACGCATTATCGCGCGTCCCCGGTCCCGGTTCTCTCGGCAATGTCGAGTCGTCGTGACGGTCGGGGCAACGGGAAAATCGCGAATGGTGTGATAACGGTGGACGCGTCGTGTGCGTCCGCGCTACGTGTATCAGCGACGGACGCATTTCAGATGGGAGACAGATAGGGGAGTTTTATTTGTTCCTCCGGGATTTAAGCTCTTAACTTGCCGATAGCGCCGGCTATCATGAGAAATGGCGTGAAAGTTTTCTATCTCATATCTTTATACTTATACCGAGAAATTTCTTAGCGTTTATTTGTTACAGAAAGGTCTGTTGGTTAGAAAATAAAATAATATTCTTTTATTATACGTAATTATCGCAATGAAAGATGACATTTCTTTCTGAAGACGAAAAGGATCGTTTTATCTAATCTTTCGCCGATTAATATTTATGTTTCATTCATTTTAAGATAAAAGTTTTCGTTCTTTAGAAGATGCATAAGAAAAGATTTATTTCGAGTTAAGCAAAATCTTATACTTAAACTTTTTCAGTTTTAGAAATATATGTGTATAAATGAAAAATATGTCTGTATAATTGAGATCAGAAAATAGAATATTAAAAGTTAAAAGAAGATTAATTATTTCAAGTTTTTTCTATAACAAATTTAAAAGGTTATAACAATTTATAACTGATTATTTTTAGAATTATTTTAAAAATATATAGTTAATAAAATACAAATCATATCGATGTGTATCTTTTTTTAAATTTCTATTATTATATTTTAGTATTTTAAACTTACTTTAAACAATTTATAATTTGCGTCAAATTTCAGGATAAAATTTTATTTGTAATTTAATATTTTTGGTACGCATTCACGTGTGTATTAATATATTTTAAATACATTTGCATTTTGACTTTAATATTTTTCGTATTATGCATCCAAAATTGTTATAAATGGTATCCTATTCTAAATTCTGACACGAATTATAAATCATCTGAAGTGGATTTTATTTTATAATTTATTAAATTATTTATATTATTTTGGACCAAATATAGAAATAATAATAATTACTTTTTTTTCAAGTAATTCTATTTTAGTAAATGTTATCATATCTTTACTAACCGAAGAGAAGTGTAATTACGAGATCTGAGAACTAATCACGGTACCGTAATTATAAATTGTATTCGTAAAACAAACAGTCAATCTCATGCTTCAAGATAATTTAACATTGGTAAATAACCCGTATTTTTAATAATCCGTACATTTAATTGATTTGAATCCCAAACGAGAATTCAATTTAATTAATACCTGTATAATCAGCGTCGGTTAATTATATCTTGCTGCACTTCTCGGAGTAAAGTGCACTCTACGTTTTCATTTCGTCGACGGTGAATTATATGGGAGGAACTTTCCCAGGCGATTAATTAAACACTGCCTTGCGATATTAATTTTCAATGAATTTTTAATTACACGTCGTAATAGCTGCAACTCGTCATGCAAAAGTAGGTAACGCTATTCTCCCGGCATCCAATTTGTCAAGCTTTATACCCTCTAATACAACTTCATCTGCGGGGAACGTTTTCCATTTTCAAAATAACTTTTTTCTCGCGACTGCTGCAGCGCGCGGCTGCGATCTTGTTTCGATTGTTGGATTTAGGTTCCGGCGGAAAGGGAGGTAATGGTTTATCCTGCAACATCCAAAGTAGACACGATAAAGTTCAAGTGCCACCTGACGAAAGTTTCGAGCTTCTCACAGGCGGCTTCGCCGGTCGCCCGGACGGCCGGTCTCCCCAATACAGACGGGGATGGATTAAAGGTGGATTGGCATGTGCATTACCAACCCGCCACGCCTTCTCGCTTTTCCAGTTACACAATTTGTTCCCTCGTTGAATATCCCACCACGAGAAAAGGACCATCGACGTCCGCGCTGAATCACAGGCGCAATCGAGATCGAGCTGAAAACTTTTTCCCGCGGGAGGAGGGGGGAAAGGAAAGACCTGCCATTTAACGATCAATAAATAGCGGTCTATCAATCAGCGCAAGTACCAGGGCGTGATTAGACGTTTACCGAGCTGGGTAAACTAAATTTCAAATGCTTCCACTTTTGTTCGCCAAAGATCATTCGATCTCGAATATCTCTCTCAAGAGCTTCCATATAACAATTTTTCGTGATCCGTGGTACACACGTGTGACGCTCTCTCCCGCTGAAATTTATTTACGAATCTGTGAACCAAAATTGCGAACGGAATCATGAGAATTACATTCGCGCATTTTGCAGTGTTGTTACCGTACACGGGAGAACAATATTTTATTTAGGAGAAAGACTTAATCTACCATCGTTAAACTTTTATTTCTTTCTCTCTCCATATATCCTCCTTTCCTCATTAATCTTTTAGATCCATTCGCTCTCTTCCTGCTGAATACATGTCACGTCTGTCTGTCTGTCTCTCCCATTTTCTCGTACAATATGTTTGTAAAATATGAAATTTAAGCACAGATCGCCATTGATTGCACGCACCGGTGCATGTTCCGAGCATGCATAAACCTCACAATTAATTCGATACAGCGAATTTCCGTTTCCGCAAAACTCGGCCCGCCGACAATTGCCGCGGCCCGCGACATCACGTCGAAAATTGCACGTTGAATTATGAAGCGATTAATATCGACACGTATCGCAGCTCATAATGCGGAAGTCCCTTCCCCCTCTTCCGCGACGAAGATTCCGCGGGGTGCCCCGTCCTCTCCGCAAGGCAAGGCGGATTCGACCACAATAGCGTCGGTACGTTCCTCCTTCGAGAAATTGCGGTCGCGCGCGTAATTAGTTTAAACCGAGTAACGTGGTAATTAAGCCGGTTTAACTCCTTTATCACAAGGTGAAGCGGACTGTCTATGTTAGTCTCGTATCTCGGTTGTCCCTGCGGCTTCCTCAGTTTATCCGCTCCGTCATAATACGCATCTCGACTTACAGGCGACAAGCCTCTGGTTCGGAAAACTCTCGCTTATAATTTTAGAGTTTCCCGCGGGAGCTTCCAAGCGAAACCAGTTTTCTTCGATCATATTCGAAATGTGTCTAACTAGCGAGTTCTGAAGAGTTAATTATTCTGTTAACAACAGATGTAAGTCAGCTACACGAGATTTTTTAAAATAAAATAAGGCCCGGTTTCACAATTCGCGGTTAACTCGATTTAACCGAAGTTCAACTTGCTTTATTTTTTTTCTAATCTAAGAATTAGAAAGGGATAAATTGTAAATTAAACCGAGATTAAAGTTAATCTTACATTTGTGGAACCGGGCCTAAGAATATTAAACTCGAGATGATAAGTCAAATTTAGTAATGAATTGCCTTTTGGAGCCAACGCAATTCGTAAAGCGTGAACAGTGTTCGGTTATTATAAATTATAAGAAACAAATAAAAATAAGACAACGCATACGTTTCGACCCTTGGTTTGCGTCTTCCTGTTCAGTTCAAACGAATTAATGAAATTAATTCGCATGGCTCGCAAACGTAAATTCTATCGCTCCTTCCTTTGTGGCAGTAAATCAGGAAAACTAATGTGTCAATTGTCGTAATGTCAAATTGTAATTTTTGAAATAGATAAAAAAACGAATATCAGACGAATAGATAGTCTCCATCATGTTAACGCTTGAGGAGATTTTTTTGTTCTGATGCGAATAGATTTGGCTGCGATGGTGCAGGAATAAACACAACAATCGATCGATACTTGGAGATAATTGCGAACGCAACACTCGCGGATTGTACAGCCTTTTAAAGTGCACAATCATTCAGAATGTTTCTCCAAGTATTATTCTCCCCCTATTTCCAAAGAACTCTTCAGGTAAAACGTCCCATTTTCTCTCGGTGGAAATTCGGTAGATTTACCGCACCAACGGCGAGATTTTCGCGAGGGAAATCGGAAGATTCTCTCGCAGTATCGGAATTAACGGGGGAACAAAAGGGGCGAGGGCGAGCGCACGCGGCCGTGAAACGCCAGTCGAAGTGAGAGCACGCCGGCGAATAATACGTACAATGGCGCGCTTAGACGGCAGCAGGCAAGCAATTCTGGAGATTAAACCCGGCCATATCTGTAATTGACTCCCCGGCACATCCTTGGCTTTTCATTATTCAACCTCGCGCTGAAGGGAGCGAGCAAACCGGAGAGAAGACTTTTCCAGCCTCTCGCGACTTACAAGAACGTCGTTTCCTCCACCGATTAGAGTACTCTCCTGCGCAAAGCGTTGCCTTTGATCTTTATTTTCCGCCGAACTGCTCTTGGTGCCGCTAGCATGTTCTTGCATTTTCGTCTGGTCCATATAACTAATTCCGTCTTTCCTCTTCGATATCCCCGTCGACGGTCCTTTGTTCGCAAACAGACAGTCGACAATTTGTAACGACGTGTCGTTGTGATAGCTCAGCCGAAACCGACCACAAAGCAAGTTGCAAAGCCTGGCGCAAAGCGTTTGCGCGTGGCCCGTCGTTTCTCCCACAAGAGTTCATAAATTTTTACGAGAGGTTTTATGAGCTTCATATCGGGGCTACATACACGTACCTACGCGAGCGCAGGCAGGGCCTACGTCATCTCGTCCTCGCCCGCTCTCGATATCCAGTGACACGTCGTTTAACAAAATTCACAAGCGGCGCGCACACGGTACACGACGAGAGAGCATCGAATTTCGATATTCTCTCGCGCGCGAGCGCCCGGCAAAGAGAGAAAGAGAGAGTCCTGTCCTTTGTCTCTCACTTGCCGAACCGGTCTCTCTAGGAACGAACACACGCGTGTCTACGGCCGAGCGTCTAGTTTAAAGCCCGTCGGTGTTTTTCCTGTGTTACAGGTGCCATGAATGTCCCGTGGTGAAGCCTACGTTCCTCTGCGGAAGCGACAATCGCACGTACAGCTCGCCGTGCCGCCTCGAGTACCATAACTGCATTCATCATACCTCCGTCCACATCGCCTGCAAAGGTTTTTGTCCGTGCAAAGGTGAGAGATACATTTGTCTACGCGCGAGTCGAGCTTAAACGGAACCGTTGATTTAATATCGGACGCTGTTTCGTATGGTCCATGCAAAAAGTATGAAATTGAGAAAATCTGTTAATCTTTATGTTTTCTATATCAAAATAAATATTAAAGCTATATATATATATATATATTTATGTATATATCAAGTTTTAATATTTGATATATATATATACTATATATATATACTAAATTTAAAAAATGTTAATACATATTAATACGTAGAATACAAAAAGGACAAGCGAAAACAAACTGTTCATTATTATGAAATTTTAATTTGTTTCTAAAATCTATTCATATACCTACCAGAGTGTTCTTTCTAGACAATAAATAAATAAATTCGCGAAATTATTCTCAGTTAAGAGAATTCGATATTGATGATTATGATTGCAGAGGTTGCGCCAAATTGAGAGCATAAATTATAACTCGACCGAATGAATCTAAATTATTCATTCTTTCCATATCTGCTTAAGGGGTAACACCACTGTAAAATTTTCAAAAAATCGATTTTTTTTTTTGGGCTTAAAAAATCCTTTGAACCCTGTAGAATACGAGGAAAAACTTTTATACGTGAAACTAATTTTTTTCATCGAAATTCCGAGCTGTGTACCGAACGAGTCGGGCGACTCCGAAACGGCTCCAGGTGGAAACCTGTCGAGAGAGTAGTGCATAATACCTTGCTTATTGATTTCTAAGTTATGTGAGACACTACTAGATGTTTCTAGAGGTAGTTTTAGAAGGATTTTCATATAGAAACACGTGTTTACGCGTGTATGTTCATAATACAACTCCAAACTTTAAACGCGTTTTTCTTCGAAACACGTCTTTTTCAACGCGGCAAGCAGTATAACT